CCTTGCATGTTAAGATGCGGGCTCACTTTGAGGGTTTATATGTAGGGGTTATACAGGGTTTCCCAAAATGGGGGTACGATTTTGGGGGGTTCCCCCTAATAAGGATTATAGTAGTTTGGGGTCTATGTTGGGCTTCCCCCTATTCAGGGAAACCACCATGTCTGGGTTGAAGGATGTGGGCGTTTGGGATGAAGTTCTGGGCCCTGGAGCATGTAGAGCAGAGTTCTGCAGTCGGGTCACGGGGATGGTGTAAGAAGATGCCAAAGCTATGGAGACTTTTCTCACACGTCCATTCTCTGAGAACTCTGGCACGTGGAGGCGCAATCCGGAAGGACGGCAATCTTTGCAGGGATCGTTCTGGGTTTCCATCTCAAGAGGATCATCCAGGTCCACTCTTGGGGGCAGCATCTCAAATGAAACATACCCTTTGCAATCAGTCATTGGATCCCTAGCATATGGTAGTTTCCCAAAATAAGGGGACCCCAATATAGACCCCAAAATATCATTTTCCTTATTGTTGGGACCCCCAAAGGGTACCCCTAATTTTGGGAAAGTCCCATCCCCAAACCCCCAAGAGTACAATCTCGGCGCTGTGTAAGAAAGCATGCTGCCGGGACGATACCCTGTACTGGGTTGCTGTTAAGGAATTTAAATTATGTTGCTATATTGGGGAAACCCTATTATTTACTATATATACCCATTATGGTAACTTGATTTAAGTTCCTTAACAGCAACCCAGTGTATTGCAACACTGTGGGCCTGGTGGCTTTGATGCTTGCTTGAAGATTGGTTTTCTAGACCCCTTCCCCTGCCCTTACTATTACATTGTTGCTACTAGTATTATCCTTGCTATGACCATTCTTGTTGCCAGTCATGTCAGTATCCCTATGGCCCTGACTATAACTATGACTCTTATTATCACCATTAACATTTTTTACTGTCATTGCCACTACTTTTACTCTTGCCACCACCACCACCACCACCACCACCACGACGACGACGACGACGACGACTACTACTACTACTGCTACTACTGCTACTACTACTGCTGTTACTGCTTTTACCTACTACTTACTACATACTACTTACCAAGCATTCCTCTTGATCATTTCTGTTATGCCTTACTATTACTAGTTCTACTTGGTATTATCACTACTACCTGCTCTTATTACTTCTTATCATTACCAACTATTACTGCTAATTGTTATTATTCTCTTTTATTGCTGCTACTTACCCTCTTACCTATCACCAGTACCACCCATTACTACTAGAGCTCCTAATCAGCGAAATCAGCCTGGAAGGCTTAGCTTCAGAGGCCTCCCAGACGATCAGAGCCTTCGTGCGAAAGTGTGGAAGGCAGCTTGGCCTATGCTTTGGATACTTGCATGGTAAGTAGGTTAATGATGGAACATGGAAATTACCTTGTAGTATTTGGGGTTTAGGGTAAGTAGGTTAATGATGAAAAACAAGAAGTTACGAGAACTTAGGGTTTAGGGTCCAGGGTTACAAGTCTCAGTAGGCTACTTGGGTGGCCTATATGGTTTATGGGGGTTATTAACCTACTTACTAAGCCCCCCGGACCTATTTTCCTGGTATACGTATGTCATATGCTACCTCCAAAAGACCTCAATATGATGTTGGTAATTTTAGGCCCCTGCGGTAGATTCGAACATCTTGTGTTCCATAGCTTTGTGTAGTTTTTTTGGATACCTTGGGGATCTTATTTTAACATACCCGAAGCCATATTCTATCTACTTAAGGGGGACTATAGTCTCAAACTGTAATACAGAACTGAAGTTATAGAGGCCACTACACGAATGGAGTTTTTCGCTTGAGCAGCCTCCAATTCTGGGTCTGTTTTTGAGATGTTCAAAGTGGTGCCGTGCAGGGACTGCGTATGGCTTATGTGGACCATTGTCATGGTTTGTGTCATACCTATTCCCTTTACCCTAAATGGTAGCTTCCATGTTTACATTATCCCTATAAAGCCCCTATATACATATATATATATACAAAGAGTGTGATGGCAGGCTGTAGGCGACTTGGGAGCCCACGTGACTTCGAAAATCAGTGAAGCTCATCTTGCACTGTTTCTGGGGGAAATTATGGCGACCCCACCCTGTTCTCCCCAAATGGTGACTAACATAGAAACACGTCCTTCATGTTGTTGACCTATTATAGATAGCCAGATAGGTTGTTGATCACGGGATTTCTCACATTGACCGCCTCATAAAAGCCTTCTGATCTATGCCTTCATGCTGGCTCCCGCCAATGTGAGAAGTATTCGCTGCACCTTACACTTCATCGCTGCTTAATGTAGGCTGTCACATTGGTTATACATCATAATTGGATGCGGACACCAGCAAAAAGAGTCGCATTAGCAAGCTTACACTTCACGCGGCATTCGCGGCTGTCGGTGGATCGAAAAGAAAGTCTGAAAAGGCCTGTCCGACTCCTTTCACTGCAGCATCAACTTTCGAATCTGGAGAGACTGCCCACTGCCATGCAAGTCTTCGTAAAGATGTTGACTGGGAGGACCATTACGCTGGAAGTGGAAGCATTAGACACCATTGACCATGTCAAGGCCAAAATTGAAGATAAGAAGGGTGGTCTCCCATCGGACCAGACACGCCTCATTTTTGCGGGCAAGCAGTTAGAAGATGGCCATACCTTGTCGGATTACGATATCCAGCCGGAAACCACACTTCACTTGCTGCTGCGCCTGCATGGTGGTATGCAGGTCCTCATGTTTGTGAAGACCCTAACCGGCAAGACCATCACCTTGGAGATGAAGGAGACAGACACTGTGGACGATGTCAAGGTCAAACTGCAAAAAGAGGAGGGCACGCCACCTGACAAACAGCACCTCATCTTCAAAGGTCGGCAGCTGGAGGATGGGCACACCTTGGCAGAGTACAACGTCCACAGGGACATGCATGTTCATCTTGTTCCCAAACTGGAAAAGCCAGAAGCCTAAGCCCAAATGCACAGCTTTGTCTTGAAGTCTTGCCTGTGATGTGAGATGTGCTGGTCCAGAAGCAGGAGCAGAGCTGGATGTTGGCACGTGTGTTCGAGTGGTCCCATGAAGGCTTCGCCATGTCAAGGATGACGCGGGAAAAGGTTGTATACAGTCGCCAGCCTTGGCCGTACTCACTTTGATCAGCCGCAACTCGCTTGACTTGCGCTGAGCCCTTCGCGCGCGACCTGCAAAATGCAGTGAGATCAAAATTCCCGCAGGAATGGGTAAGCTAGTCTAAGTCTTGTGGCACATACCTACTTCTACTAAGAGGATGGCCCACTTCTGCTACTTTGTAATGAAGAGGGTCACTGGCTTCTGCCAGTTTGGTGGCCTCCGTTTGAATGTGGGACGTGTTAGCAGTGTTGGCATTAGTCCCCCTGTTCTCATCAGATCATGTGGTTACACGTGGTACTCATGATTCCTAGGATGCCTCAGCTTCAGCAATGTCCAGATCCAGGGCAGAGGGTACAAAGTGCGTGGCTAGCACAAGCAGGCTTCAGAGCGACATAGGGTCTCACAGAACACAACAGTTCAGAGCTGTGTTCGTCGTGTTTGCCAAGTCTTACGAGCTACCAATGGGAGTGAAGCAATGAACGAAGGCGCTGCTCGGCTACCTGCCCATGAAGCGGCACGACGAGTGGAATGCAATTCATGGCGCCTCAGATGGGTTTGTGCCTGGAAACGGACGAAAGCTTGTCTCAAAGCGTCCTACTTCGAGCAAAGAAATACCTGTGTCCAATGATAGCAGACTAGTCCGCTAGGAGGGAACCTCGACATCAACTGCATTGCCAGCCTCGACAGATGCTTAAGAGAAATCAGTGATTGGTGTTAAGATCGCGGAAATAGTCAAGTGAGAAGTGTCAGACTTCTCCTGCAAGGTTGGAACTCGGACGACTTTCATCTGAGGCTAGACCAAAAACCTTGCTAGACACGGCCTTTCCTGAAATCCACTAAGTTGTAGCTGAGAGCTGACTTCCATGGGGTTTGTTTGTCGACCTTACACAGCAGAATGTTGTGTATCCAATTGCCATGGCATTTGTCCGGTGTGCATCAAAAGCCTCAGATTTCTGGGTGGTATATGTAGGATTTTTTTTCGGAGAGCCCGCTAAACCTGGACCTTCTGGTGCTGAAGGTTCCACATACCATAATCTAAATGGTTTTTGGGAACCTTGAACCCCAACATCCTAAACCCAAACCCTAAACCCCTTAAACCCTACACTCTAGAACCTTAGTGTTTGAGTCCTTGGGCCCTTGGAGTGCTGCAATCGCCAAGAAACCCGCGGATCCCGTCGCCTCGATGTGAAAGTTCCCGATAGCTGCGTTTTGGGCTTTAGGGTTTTAGGGTTTACGCGGTTTAGGGCTTAGGGTTTAAGGGGCTTCGGGTTCAGGGTGTAAGGGGTTTAGGGTTTAGGGTCTCAAGTTTAGGTGTATTGTTGCAGGTTCCAAAGATAGGGGCCCCAAAGGGGAATGGAAAATGACATGAAAACTACTGCTTAGGGTTTAGAGTTGAGGGATGTTAGCGCCAGGACCAGATGGAATCTGAAACGAAAGCTACTAAGTATCTGCGGATGATATTTGAGATTTACGGATGTCTGATGGTAGGGCACCCAGACCGGGCAAAGCTGATGTTGGCCATACAGCAAGTCCCTAAACCCTGAACCCTGAACCCCAAGTATGAATCCTAAACCGTTAGCAACCCATTTTCCTCAGGGGTGTCAAGCTACACACCCTATAGCCTTGACAGGCTGGTGCTGTTAAACCCCAAGAAACTCGTAGATCCCTGTTCTATCCCTTATACAATCCCCATACCTCAGGCCATTCTAATTTAAACACCAGTGAGTGCAGGATAGTATATTATGGTGGGTTCCCTAAATACGAGGGGACCCCAATATAGACCCCCAGAATACTGTTATCCTCATTTTGGGGAACCCGCAAACGGTTACCCTAATTTTTTTTTGGGGGGGAAGCCCCCATATCTCAGGCGAGAAGCGTGCTCTTTATGCGAGCTACCGGAGCGAGCTGCTGACCATCAACTCAGCGCAAGAGGTCTCGGTGAACGTCAGCTCCAAAAATCCAGGCAGTATGAGCTCGGGGGATTCATGTTCACTTAATGTTTATTACTATTGCTGTTACTAAGAGTATTAGCATTACTAGTGTAACTATTACTGCATGAGCCCTTGGGATTGACGTTCACTTTATTCAGACGGTTTTTAGTATTATGATTACTATCGTTGTGTCTAAGATTGCTATTCGTACTATTTCACTATTTCTCTGGCATTACCAGTATGACTTGTAGCATGAGCCCTTTGGATTGACGTTTACTTCAATCGTGCTGTAACTTGTATTATTCTATTCTTTTTACTATGATTACTAGTATTACGATTCTTGCCAGTAGTACCTGTATTTGTCATATTGTTGTTATTTCTACTGTGATCGTCATAATTATCATTATTATTCGTATTCTGCGTTTATTCGTATTCTTATTGTCATGTTTCTTATGATCCCTCCTATTGTTCCTATTGTTACTATCACTATACGCGACCAACGTGTGGCCTCTTGTTGGATTCTCTACAAACAGAGCATCTGTCGGAAGGAGGGGCTAATAGATTCTCTGCACGTACTCGTGTGTAGCTCACAAAGCGGGACGTTCAATCTTGGCTGCAAGAGTTGTTCATAGCCTGGATCCAGCGTGGGGTTGCGGCGCGTAGGGAAAGACCACATTTTTATGATGGAACTTGTGCAGATTTCCTGCTTCAGCTGAATGAGAGCTTTTCACAGAAGACGTTGGTCTGATAGAAGCATCTTTGAGTAGGGTATGCAGCGACAACCATGTCTAGAATCAAGTTGTAGTGTAGAGTCTCGAGGTACCCCAGCTTTTCTGAAATGATTTGACCAATGTAGTCAATCCATGCAGGGAGCGAAATTGACGACCAAGATCTTCTGCAAGAGATCAAGAATGCTGCTTTCCTGGATTTATGCAGAGGGTGACGGTGTTGTTCGCAGATCCACGAGCATACTAAGCCTTGCTACTTACTAGAGACTTGTTGGCAACTGCTTGTACGCACACAAAAGCGTTTACAACAAACATATTTGCCCATCACACTCGTGCACTTTGCCAGGGCTCTTGACATCTCGCTTGAGGTCTTACGAACTATCAAATGTTGGACTGAACTTTCTAGTATGCGAGTCATTATGCGAGTTTGTGGTATGCGATGCAGCCATGTAATCTCTACAGTCACCTGGGCTATAGAAGAGTTGAGAGATGTCTTGATGTTCGCCTTTCCTGGCCCCTTTCTACCTGTTCAAGAGCGTCTGCGCGAAATGTTTTGAACACAATTACAGCATTCCCCAAATTGAGTGATTGCCCAGGATGTCGATAGAACTCGGCGGGACTTTGAATATTTCCGCCGCCCTGCCACGAAAGCAGCACTGGTGGCCCTGCTCTTCGTGTATGCCAAGCTGAATCCGGGCGTCCGGTACGTGCAAGGCTGGGTCTGCAGGCTAGAGGTATACATACGTATAGGGTTATATAGGTGCGTATATATACACGTGTACCTATGTGACTATTGAAACTGTTCCTATTATTAGTATTATTAGCATTATATTGAGAGAGAGAGAGAGAGAGATACATACATATATATATATATATACACACACATACAGATAGGGTTTATAGGGCCATATAGAGAGCTTTATTTTCCCGATGGCGGAGAATCAACACGTTGGACATTGTTATGTATGGGTTTACATGGAGTATGTATGTTCATCGCCATTCTCGTTGTCCCTGTTCTCTGGCTTATGAAGTTGCTGCAAGTGCTTGCCGTAATCTTTTCTAGCTCTCAGCGCTGCGTCTGGAAATTGGCGGCGTTTCAGCGAGGCCTCAGTTAGGCCATACGCTTGTGTAAACAGGATAGACCAGTTCATAGAGGCTCATTCAGGTCAGTCCTTCTGTTGCTAGCGCTTGTAGGATTTCTTGGTTGTAACTTCACATCACCTCAAAACTTTCAGAGTCAACTTTCTTTCTTTGGTAGAAAATGGGAAGCAGCATGCCGAGAAACCTCCACCTGATGTGAGGCATGAATGAGATTGCCGCAGTCCTGCTTTACGTCATGTCGGCCGAAACTGATCCAGAGACAGATGCATTCTGGTGCTTCAGCGAGATGATGGCAGAATCCTGGCTAGTGTTCTGGGGTGTTGCTTTTGGGATCGGTGAGGACAACAACTTGGGCATTGAAGGCCTGGGTTCGGAGATCTTCTTGTGCAAGGTAGGAGGTCTGAGAGATGGACTCATAGGCCTCTGGATGCGCATTCCCAGCAAAGTTGGTGTCGCCTGGCATTGCAATAACATACGACACTTCCTGGTGACTAGTGCAATGTAGTAGGGGCTAGAGAGTATGTTCATTAAGACTTCCCAATTTTTCCACGTACCTCGAAGTTAAAAGCAAAGTCACGAGATGATGTGCTTGTTTTCTTCAAGCTGTCTTTAAAGACCCTTAACGATGCCCCGAGGGTCCTTTGCGGCCGGTATCTTGAGAAACTCCCAGTCGAGAAGCTTGGGGGGAATACGACCGCCCCAATAGAGAGTAAGAAAAGATGCGCCTCCTGTGGAGTCTTGTTTCATCCCCGTACAATCTCTTTATAGTCCTCACATAAAACCGGCCTTACACAAACATATTTAAGCTAAGCCCTATGCCCTAAACCCTAGACCTATCCAAGCCCTAACCCTAAATAGTAGTTTCCATTTTCCTTTCCAGTATCCCTATATAACCCCTATATAACCCTAATATTACCCCTATACAAGCCCTAAGACTGCTGCGAAGGAGATCAAGGATGGCTTCATGCAGGCCTTGGACCACAGCGGCGAAGGCGTCCGGGTTTGTGGGGGAGTTGAGACTGCTTTAAGATTTAGGATTTATGGTTTAGGGAGGGGGAATAGGGGGGTATATAGAAGTATGTAGGACCTAGCGTTTCATTCAAGGTTTAGGGTGTTTAAGGTTCACGGATTGAGGGTCTTAGGATTTAGTTTTAAGGGTCTAGGGTTTGGACAGGTTAAGGCTTGACAGATTTGGCTACATGGTGCTCAGTCAGTGCCCTTTTACATGACAGGGGTAATATCCCTAAACCTTCAACCCTAAATAGTAGCTTCCATTTTCGTTTATATTCTTTTAGATCCCTTTTAAACCCTATATAACCCCAAATGATAAACTGGCAGAAGAACGGGGCTAAGGATCCAATCCAAGGGGGAAAACAGACATCTCAAGGGCTTCGGGCAATCATCAAGCAATCCCTTAGGGATCCAAATAGCCCAACGTAGGTAGTATTTACCGGCTTTAGGGCCCAATGTAGGTATTATTTGTATACTTGGGTCACTAGGGATCCTGTCATGCCCTGCCGTAAACTAACATCATGGAACCACATTTTGGGGCCATTGCGCCAAGCCAATGGTCTTACTTGGCCTCGCTTTGTTTCTTAAAAAGGAGAGTTGCTCTTAAAGTTCTGAAATCGGCTCCGATCCAGACCACTCTCAAGAGAAGAAACCCTCCAGAAGTCAGAGCGTCTGTTTGGAAGTGGGAGAGTAGAAGCGTACAAGGCAATACTGGGCTGCCGTTGAGGAACTTAAACTTAAGTTGCCATAATAAGGGTATACAGTAAGAGGGTTTCCTTATTATGGTAACTTAGTTCAGGTTCTATAACAGCAACCAAGATAAACCAGGTTCAGTTCATCCTCAGCCCCTTCCATGACCCGAAGGCTTCGCATGAAGTCTGAGGATGCCAAGGTAGTCAAAGGCACATCCTCTTATGCAACGTTATTCACTTGTTCTTAGTAGGGAATGAGGATTCGTTTCATACCCGGATTATATGGGAGTTTTATTCCCTGCTAAGAACCAGTAGTCTTAAGTGCTAAGGAAAGGTTGGAGTTGGGCGATGAGGCTTCCAGGAGGACTTTCAACGCGATATCGAGAGATCTTTGGGAGGACTCTGACCCCCAATCTAACGACCGCAACAGTAGTTTCAGAGCTTCTAGAGGCAGATGTACGAGATATGGTCTAGTTGCGTGGGGCTTGACGAATGGGTGGAAGCCTACGGTCCAGCCATCACAGACCCGGAACTTACAGAACTCAAGCATGCTGTAATAACCCTATAGTCCCCCTTAAGTAGATAATCAATGACACAGGGGAGCTTAGTGCCATGCTATGCCATTGAAAAAGATTGGCGCGCAGTTATTACATGTTCAGACAAGACCGTTGTCAAATAGGGTAACCTAGGCAAACTAGAACATCAAAGAAAGCATGAGAAAAATCTACGCGCTCACGAATTTGAGGAGCTTCAAACAAGTCCTATGTGCTTCTGGCACACCCTAACTGCGCTTAGCCCGCAAACCACCCCCAATCCCCGAGCCAAAAGTGTTGCAGGCGTGTATGGCATGGTGGAGGAGATCTCACAGATGCTCCGAAGCGCTGCCCTCATCCCCAGGCTTAGACGCAAGGAGAGCAAGGATCAAGAGAGGAAGTAGCCTTGAAAAATGTTCTGGAGCCCCCATGTGTTCACTTTGCTTGTCAGCAACCACCATTCTTGGTGTCAAGCACAACCTCAAACTGCGATGCAGCACCACAAAACCAGGTGAAGCTCATTTGGAGCCATGCTGTTGTTCATTTGCCACTCCTGGTGGACGGTTAGTAGCCTTGAGGCTATGATGCGCAGCTCGCAAGGCCTGCTTCAGCCTAGAAACGTGGGGCACGTAATTCTCCACAAGCTCAGATGCCAATTTCATAAAGAGGGGACCCCGTATATTTCACACTGTAAGTACAGCTACCCCCCGAGAGGTTCCTATGATTCTTGCAAACCCCTATTTGTAGTCCGGGCTTCAGGAGCTCAAGATGAAATATATCAGTGTAGGGTGAATAGCTGCAACGTGCATCATTGCTCAGAATCATGTACTGCTAAAGCGCCAATAGCCCGAATACGAATTGGGACCTTCCATGAAGCAGGGCTCCCCTCATATACCACCAAATATTGGAATACCTAATGTAGGGACTCCCCAAAAGGGACCACTAATTTCTGGAACACCCCTTGAGTGTTTCTAGAAAATTCCAGATACTTCATTACAAAGATCTTTGTAGGGGTTTCAGCAGTACCGGTTATCGCTAGCTCCAGCATTTTTGTAATGTTTCGCGGTTGGGGTTGAGGGCTTGAAGTTTAATTGTAACACCCCTGAAGGACTTAGTGAGTCCCATACGCACCTACCTAAATTCAGGGTCCTTACCAACGAAGTGAAACGAGATTCCGAGCTAAACCTCTAATACCGGCAAGGATGGATACTCCGAGAGCTCACTTTCCACCAAGTCGGTGGATTTCATGGGTTACACGAATGCTTGTCACATATGAGCTAGTCTAAACTCCTAGTACCCCCCCTAATAGCCTCTATATTACTCCCTTATATCATTCCCTATATAACCCCAATTAAGGAGTTTAGACTATAGCTCATATGGTTGTTTCCAAAACTTTCAGGCCCAGCTTGAGAGTCCAAAGAATGAGGGAGACTTAATCTGGGTTTGTTTTTGGGCCCTCATGTTTAGAATGTTTGGAAAGCCCAAGATCCAGTTCTGCTGAGCCTCCTAGTTTCGCACAGGTTCCCCAAAAAGCTTGGAATTCGGAGCATTGCGTTGATTCACAGCTCGCCCTTTTGGGCTGAATGGGATGGCGGGGTATGCAGGGATCCTAGATCAGGGCCAGTCCCTCTCTTTGGGGATCTTTCCCTAAACCCTACCCTGGGGGTCTAAGTATACAAAAAATACCTACATTGGGCCCGAAAGTCTGTAAATGTTACCTACATTGGCTATTTGGATCCCTTTACACCCCTATAAGCTCCTAGCTTCCATTTCATCTTCCATTTGATTCTCCATCATTGGGGTAATACATTGGGCTGTTTGGATTCCAAAGGCTAGTATTTCAAGGCAGGCCACTTGACAAGACTCCCAGGCTTCTTTCTGCATGTATGCGAATTGCTGGCAGTTTGCTGCCCTGGGAGCTGCATGTGTGTATCTGGATCTGTGTTAGCGATCCTATATGGTAGTTTCCCAAAATAAGGGGACCCTAATCCCAGTTTCCATTTCATTTTCCATTTTCTTTTCCATTTGATTCTCCATTATAGGGCCCTAAACCCTATATTATTGGGTAGCACAGTATATACTACCCTCAGTTTCCATTTCATGTTCCATTTTCTTTTCCATTTGATTCTCCATTATTGGGGGAAACTACCATATACTTTTTGGAGTATGGGATTCCCCCTAGCTATGCAAAAAATCTGTTCCTTCTTCCTAGGGTAATGTGGGCTAAGGTATGATTTATGCATGCTTTCAGGAAATGGCGGTCCTTATGGGAAGTCCCTTTAATGAGGATCATAGTCTTGGGGCCTATGTTTTGTGAAACCCCAGTTGGGTTTCTGGAATTGGGGGTCTTGTTGAACCCAGAAACCAGATGATATTCTAAATGCCCTCATAATATCTACTCTAGATATTTGTGGTATTTGGTAATATGCCCAGCTACCAGGTAAACATGGCCGAAGAAAGGATTGAGCATTGGACGCGAAAGAAGCAGGGATGTTACTAGGCTCATATTACGAGCTATAAGAGGGGTTATTTTGGGGATTATATCGGGGAGTATTATAGGGCTTATTAAGGGGGATACTAGGAATTTAGCCAATAGTCCTCTCCCCCCTGAGCCTAATCAACATAATAGTTTCCATGTTGCCATTCTTCCAAATCCCAATATTCTATGGTAGTTTCCATTTTCTTTCCACGTAACCCCCGCTAGAGTCTCTTCAAGCGTTGGCCCTGAGTCGAGTCGACATAGCTTCCCAAGCCAGATCCGAGGTTGATCATTTGTTAGGTAGATGCATTGGCAGCTCCTGGAATTGCTGCTAGCATATGTAGAGCGTACAGCATAAGCTATACTGACTGCCCTAAATGAACCCTGACTGCCCTGGCCCCTGGCCCTATCTATGCTCCTTAAGCAAGAGCTTCAGATCAGAAAGCATGCGCAGGCATCTTGCTCGCGCGGAGTTGTCCCTGTTTGTGTTCGTGCTGCGATGGTGCACGGACACTTGCACAGAGTTGGCACAAATGATGTCAGGATTGTTTTATGGTGGGCCCTTGGCCATCAACTTCTAGAAATGTCTATCAACGATTATTTTCCTCGGCGTCCTCTTACGGAGAGTGCTTGTACCAAGGGAAAGAGCTCTGACGGGTGGATACGAGACTTCTGTTTGAGACAACCCCAAAGCCCAGAGCCACAATGTGCGGGGAAGACTTTGCCCTTTACAGCCCCAGGTTCCATTGAATTGTCAAGTTCTTTCGCCGTGATTCTGCATTATTCTACTTATTTAGGGCCCCAAGCCCCAAATAACGTAGTAGTTTCCATGTCTTTTCCATTCTTAGCTTTGAAAAGAGAACAGGGGACAGCTAGGTGCTGCTCCCCGTTTAGGGTTGACGGTTTCCAAGACTAAGAACATAGAGATAAGATTGGCGAGCCTCATTTGCAACACAGACAATGAGCGACATCAAAAATGATCATGCATATCTGTCGTTTATTTACAGGCTCTATAGGATCTCAACCGGTCCGTATTTGCCTCACCATCCCCTATGAATAGCAACTTCTGCCACTCGGCATGGGCATCAATCCAAGGTGCTCTTCGCTCAGGCGCGATCCCGTTTTGGGTCTGATGTGCCCAAGTCACAGCCATATAGGAGCATATGCTACCAGATCCTACGATTTGCACGCGCCCATATCTGCTTCAGCATTATGAGCATACATGGCACGTGCTTTGCTGCATGAGACTGCATGAGAGTCCTGAGTCATAACCACTAGCAGCAAAGTTAAAATTGCCGGGGGGCTGCTGCACTTAAACTTGACACTTCCAGATTACAAGGTTGTAGCCGAGGGCAAAGGTGGCGATTACAATACTTGCCGACCACACAATATTATAGTAGTCTCCATTTTCTTTTCCATTATCCTCCTATAACCCCAATATTCTAGTAGTTTCCAGTTTATTTTCAATTATCCCTATATAACCCCAATATATACCCGACCCTGAATCGTGTAGGTAGTTCAGCCTGCAGCCTAAACGCAAGCTGATTCCTCGACGAAAACAAATCCAAAACAGGACGCAACGCTTCCTGATGTCCTCCGGCTCCTTGAGAAGCAGCCTAGAAATGGGGGTTTCCCAAAATTAGGGGTACTACCCCAATAATGGAGAATCAAATGGAAAAGAAGATGGAAAATGAAATGGAAACTGGGATTATATAGGGGTTTATAGGGATTAGGGTTTCCCAAAATTAGGTGTACCCTATTGGGGGTCCCCATAATAAGGAGTATAATATATTGGGGTCTATATTGGGTTCCCCTCTTCTAGGAAACTACCAAATAGGGTTATTGCCCGCAGAGCTTTCGTGCGAAAAGTCTATGTTGTCGATCGTTGGGTTTGTTCAGAATTTGGGACTTGCACGGTTTAGGACTTAGGCCTGCACAGGGCTTTGTATTCTGCAATTGGAGCATTGGAGTAGAGATAATGTGCTGCCCAGCATATTAGCTGTATGGTTACGAAGCTTACTAAGGGAACACGCTTTACAATTCGAGGTTCAAGGTTTCAGGCTGTTTGGGTTTGGGCATTCAGGGAAGGCCTATCCTGATCTTCAGTTGGCTTTGCTCGTCCCAACCCACCCATCGAATAATGACTTCTCCAGGGGTCGAGGAGTACTAATAATGCAATCCTTTTTTTCCGGTATAGCCCCTAGCAAGGACCATCATGTTCCCTAACATTCCGAAATGCCTCCCACGTACGTGTCCATCATATGGAACGGGAATGGGAGAATGGGCTATTGGGAGTAGCAGTGGCACTGTTGTGAATGGTGATTAGGGAGCCATTACAGGAATCCAGCCCGTCACCGCTTGCGAGCATCAGGCAAGCATAAGCGGGGGAGTAGGATCATGAGCCTGGTGCTTTGAATGAGGGCCCATGTTCTAACACCACGTGAGGCGCATCTCGGTTAATGGGTGCGGTTGCAGGTTTCTGTACCATGGGCTGGGGCACTGCACGAGAGCTACTTTAAGAATGACTTTAAGATATGAGCTATAGTCTAAACTCCTAAGAGGGGATAATTAGGGGACTACTATAGGGGTTATTAAGGAGGATATTAAGAGTTTAGACATTAGCTCATATCTGCCGGTGCGGCCATGTACTGTATCTGAAGCAATCCGCTTCGAGCTGAGGTTATGGGACTCTTTCATCGCGGACCCGAACAGATACGGGCCCGGGCCCTGTGGAGCACAATAAGACGAGGATGTGTGAAGACAGTTGTCACTTGTGTGACCCCTGCAATAGCTTTCACTCATGAAGCGAGACATCTCTGTGACAGTCGCCCTAGGGATCCAAGTATACAAATAATACCTACGTTGGGCCTTAAAGTCTGTAAACAATACCTACATTGGTCTACTTGGATCCCTTTACACCCCTATAAGCTCCTAGTTTCAATTTCATGTCCATTTGCTTTTCCATCATTAATGCATCGGGCTATTTGGATCCCTAAACCCTAAACCCTATATTACCTACATGGGCTACTTGGATCTGTTGGGTTGTGGACTTGCGAAGCCAGAAGCGTTGATCTGCGCGAGAGGATTGTCTTTTTTAAGCCCCCAAAACCGTGATCTAGATGACGGCGTTGTTGAATTCCTTACTCATGTGAGCTATAGTCTAAACTCCTTAAAGGGGGTTATCTAGGGATTATCTAGGGTTTAGGGTCGAAACTCCTGAATGGGGGTTACGTAGGGGATTGTATAGGAAACTACTATAGGGGGTATTGAGGGGGATACAAGGAGTTTACGCTATAGCTCATGTTCCAGCCCGGCTAAGCTCCTTTGTTGTGAATGCGGAAGAAATACTCGAATCCAAGCCGTGATCGATGAGAGAATACAAGACTCATGTTTGTTGCAGTTTGGGGTTGGGGTTGCCTTCGAGTGTGTGTTCTTTGTTCACCTTTCCAGAGTTTGCAACAGCGGACACAAGGTCGCCCAAGCTGCGTGTGTGTTGTCTCTTTTAAACTTGAATATGACGCGTTTGCTGTTGTGGGTCAAGCGTGAGCAGGGAGCCCTGTCCCAACGCGTATAACCTATCGCAAATTCGAAATTCAAAGCCATGCAGATCTTCGTGAAGACACTGACTGGCAAGACCATCACCTTGG